TTTCACGTGCACTACAGAATAAAAGTAGATTGCATATGTAACCAGGAGTCTGCATTTCATTCTTCTTGCTTTTTAAGAAAGTATATAATACATTCAACACATTACTTTCAAAACTGTCCTGCTTATCTGTACTTCTTTCCGAACTTCCTTCCATTTTCTCTATGCTTTTAAAAAATATTTCAAAGGTCCCCTTCTTTACCATTAATATTGTTAAACCTCTCCCTCTCCTTCAACTTCTCCCCAATTTAAAATATAGGAAAAAAACTTGTAGCAAATAAGCATGGTCATGAAAAATATATCCACAGCAACAATGTTCAGGCATATCTATAGCAACGACATCCCCCAAAAAAGTATGCCACTTTGTGCACCTTGAAGCCATCACTGCTCTCTCAGGAAGTGGGTAACATGCTTCATCACACCCTCTGGAGACATTGTTGGTCACTGCTTGAAATAGAGAATAAACCACAAAGCAGCATAGAAGATACTCATTTGTCTGAGAAATACTGGAAACCCTCTGCTTTGGGAGCCTCAACATTGATTATTAATAGCTCATAATTATTTAGCATTCTTCACAACACATTATTGAGATAGGGAGTACAAGTACACTTCTGTCCATTTTACAGAAGAAACTGACACTCAGAGAAACTGTGACTGCTCCTGTAAATGTCAGAACCTGTACTCAAACATTTGCCATATTGCTAGATGATAATACAACAGTATTAGTATTAGGTGGATTAATAATTGATTGAATGTAGCTATACTCAAAGAGCTTAATTAATGGATCTGTATAAACCTAGATGGGAATCTGTAGTAGAGTGCCATAGCATGACGTCCTTGACCCTGCCATATTCAACATTTTTACCAATGATTTAGATAAAGATATGCTCATGAAAAAAAAAAAGATGTGCTCATGAATTTTGCAACTGACACATAGCTGGAAAGGATAGTTAATATATGATTCAAGACAGAATGGAAATACAAAATTATTCTCAGTAGGCTGGAACATTGGGCCAAAAGCAACAAAAAGAAATTTAACTTGGATAAATGTAATGTCCTGCATTTAGACTTTTAAAAGATCGATTACAGAAGTACAAGATGGTGGAGATCTGGTTAGATGGTGGTTTATATAACAAAGATGGGGGCTGAGGGGAGAGAGGGGAATAAGTTGGCCGCAGGTTTAATATAAGACAATCCTGATGAAGCTGCCAATATTAGGTTATGTTAATAGAAGTAGGGTCTTCAAGATGGTGGAAAATAAGAGTTCCACTGTACTCTGTGCTGATCAGACCACACCCAGAGTATTATGTTCAGTCTGGGCTGCCACATTTTTTAAAGGAATATTGACAAGCTAGAAACTTAGAAGAGCAAGACCTGCATAGTAAGGGATTTGGAAACCATCTGCAGGGGAATATTTGAAAGAAATACTTATTTGGTAATTTGGTCTGTTAGGCAATTTGGCCTAGAGAAGAGAAGATAAAGAGACGTTAGATAGCCATCTTCAAATATCTGATTAGATTTGGTATCTTTGTGTACCTTTCCACATTCTTTCGTGGAAAGAATGAACAGAATTGTTTTGTGTTGCTACAGAGGACAAAACTATGGACTAATATGTGGATTTTAAAGGGAGTCAAATATCAGTTAGAATATTCCAGCAACAAAAACAGTAGGAGGCCTTTCATCAGTAAGATCTCTATCACTTTAAGTATTAGCATACAGCCAAGATAACTGTCTTTCAGGAATGAAGTAGAAGAAATTCCTGAAATGGGTGGTCAACTGTACTAAATCCTATCTAAGGTCCATCCAACACTAATATTCCATGGGCACAAGGGTATTTAAGTAGAATAAGGAATTTATAATAATCTTAATTATCCTTTAGCTATGTCTAAGAAGAAAAAGATCCACCCTGGGGAACTAGTATCAATTATTCTCTAATATTTTAAGTAAATATGCTCATTGTTATTCTTTAACCTTCTCTCTCCTGGGATGAAAATAGGCAATGTCCTAATTTTATCCATGAGGTGTAAAAAAAAAAGTGGTTTGCTCAAGATTCAAAAATGTTGTTACAATACTAAAGTTAGGATCATAGATTTAGAACTGAAAGGACATTGAGTCCAACCCCCTCAGTTTACAGATGAGGAAACTGAGGTCCACACAAATGAAGTGATTTACCTTAGGTCACACAGGTGGAAAAGCTGGAATTTGAAGAGATACATGTCCTTCCCACTGCACCATACCACAGTCAGGCTACTACCACAAAGTAAGCTAGGCAAATTCCAATTTTACCAACGCACTCCATGGTTTCCAGGAAGGGCAAACCATCCTAGAGCACTTCTCTCTCCCCCTGCTGGAAAAATGCAAAAAATACGACTAGCCCAAGGCCACTGAAAACCATCCTTTCACCTTTGAGGGCAGTCTGACTCTACTGATGACCACAAGACTGTCAACTTATTGGTGGGTTGCAAAGCTGCACTGTCTCTTCATGAAGTGTACCTTTCATTAGCCTGTCTCCAGGCTCGTCCAGTCTCTGTATTCTGATTGAAATTCTCAGCAATAACCTATAGGAAATCTGACCCTGCTGAGGTTAGCAGAGACTCTCAGAAACCCTCCAGCTCAGTAGCCAGTTCTGGACTTTGAGAGGCAGCATAACACAGCGGAAGTCAGAAAACATAGGTTCAAATCCCAGTTCTGCCACTCAGATCCCATGTGAGCTTAGGCAAATTTCTCTGACCCCTGTGGAATAGGGGTTGGACTATATGATGCTCAGTGTCCCAGCTCTGGAACTATAAAACTAACCAGGATCTGCAAATGTGGGAAGACTCTTCCCCCTTCTTTGGAGGGGGAAGAAAGTAAAGTCTCCCTATTGTCCTTGAAAGAGATAATAAATAGTCTTTCTTCTTTCCCTCTTCTCTTCCACACTTTCTTTTCTCCTGTTCTATTAGTTTCCTCTTAAAATGTTGTCAATTTAGTTTCCATTTTGCTGAGGAATGAGCATCATGTGGCTGAAGCCATTAACTCATTTTGTATGGCTTTCTGAGCTATGACTGGTATGGTCCGTGAGGGCTGGATCATCTTGTGGTCAGAGGCCCTGTAGGACCCTAAGGATCACCCTTAGGGTCCTCCAGAACTGGTCCAGCAGAAGACCTACTTCTTCAGTATATTCCTCCCTTCAAATAACGAATGTGTCCCATTATTCTATCAGTGAGTGGTGCAATAGAAGACCCAAGGATTTACCGAATCACAGCATCTCTAGTTGGAATGTACCTCGGAGGCCATACCTGGCCAGGAATCTCCACTATGACATTCCCAACAAGTGGCCATCCAGCTTTCCCTTGAATTCATTCACTCTCCAGGCAGCCCAATTCACTTGTGAATGGCTCTGTTGTAAGGACGTTTTTCCTTAGAAACCTAAATCGAACTCTGCAGTTTCCATCCAACGATCCTTTGGCTAATTCTGCTCTCTAGAGCCAAGCTGAACAAGTCGAATCTGCCTCCAGCATGGCGGCCTTCAGATATTTGGAGACAGCTGCTATGGCCCACATCCTCCTCACTCCCCAAGTCTCTTCTTCTGTAGACTAAACATCCTGAGTCACTTCAACTGATCAATCAAATGCTTACTCAACATGCATTTATTAAGTGCTTACTGTGTCAGGCACTGGGGATACAAATATGTATATAGTAAATACAAACTTCGGAGTGGAGAAGGCATTAGCAGCTGGGGGAAAGGTGGTGGTGGCAAGGATTGGGGATCAGAAAAGGCCTCTAGCAGGTAGCCCCTGAGTCTAGCCTTGAAAGAAACAAGGTATTCTGAGAGATGAAAATAAGAAGGCAGTCTCCCCCATTTAGGCACTGGGGAGAGCCTGCATAAAGGCTTGGGGACAGAAGTAGTGTCGTATATGAGAAAAGTCAAGAAAGTGTCTGTTTGGCTGAACCACAGGATTCAAGAAGGGCAATAATGAATCCCTTTACCAGGTTGTTGTAATGAATAGAGAGCACAGGGACTTGGAATCAGGAAGACCAGTGTTCAAATCCTGCTCCCAATACTTGTATTGGCTGTATGATTAAAGACAATTTAATCTTTCTAAGCCTCAGTTTTCCCATCTACAAAATAAAGGGGTTGGACTAGATGGGCTCTAAAGTCCCTTTCAGCTCTAAATCTATGAGCCTTGGATCCTCTGGACTGCTCCAGCTGGTCAGCGCCCTAAGGTCCTAATGGTTCATCTGAGTCCTAGTTATGCCTGCCTGATCTCCCCTTGCTCTTTTCTCAATTTTCTGGCTACCAAGCTTTTTCTTTTTCCTCGAGCTCCTCTTCCCAACCCCCAAGCTACTTCACTACTCTGAACTGGTTCAGCATAGCCTGAAGCTTGAGGGTCCCTTCATCCCACCCACCCCTCAAGCCTGGACACTTGGACTCAGCATTCCCTCCCCAGATTCCTTCTTTCTTTTCCCCTCCCTCCCCCACTGCCCTCAGCCGCACAGATAAACCACACCGGAGTGTTCCAAACTTTCAAGATGATCCGGGGTTATCCCCATTTTCAGCTGCTCAGAAGTATGTTAATTCCCATTCAGACTGCAGTGCTATTGACTGCAATGCAGACGCACAGTTACTATAACGCTTTCCTCACAACCCTTTCTTAATTAAGTTGATCTTTTAATTTCACACCCGCCCCTGGATAACTCCTCGTTTCTTTCTCCTGGCTTAAATTAATCTTTTTTTTTCTTTTAAGATCCCCCAGCGCTGCTGGACCAGCTGTGGGTTTCCAAAGGGAACTATCAGAGCCCTCCGTCAGCGCTCTTTTTTTTGCAGTTCACAATCCTTTTTCCCCTTCCCCCGACTTTGCTCTCACCCCCTCCCCCAGGAGGGAGGGTTTTTCCTTCTTCCCTAACACCCTCCCATTCCTCCACCCCCACCTCCACCCCCACCCTATGTGTCATTTCCCTCGATGCCTGCCTGCCTACCTACCCTAAGTGCGCTAGAGGTGGATCCCTGAGTACATAGCATACTAGGAGGTGTCCTAAGGAGGCTGACAGGAGGAGTCTTAAAGGTCTCTCTTTTCAGCCACTGGCAGTGATCTGACTCTGGGCTGAAGGGGTTTGGAAAAACAAAAAACACCAGAAAGATCTTTTAGCTTTCTTTCACGCTCACGACCAAGACTCTAACCCTGCTGCTTCTCCTGCTGCTGTCACAGCCTGAAAAGAACCTGGGAACATCACACTGGGTGGGGAGGGATTTTTGCTTTTCTTCTAGAGAGGCGGAGGGGGAGCGCAAAAATTTAAGGACAGAAACATCTCTCTGGAGGCTGTGAAGAGGAGGTCTTCAGGAACAAGAAGGGACGGACTTTTCATTCTTCTATCACCCAAAGGAAATCTTAAATTGCTCTGCCAAGTGTATGGGACTTAACTTCTTGAACTGCGCTGTACTGTTTAAGGTAACGCCTTCTCCTCTCTTCTCTTTTCTCTTCCCTTAGGCTCTCTCCTTTGCCGGCACTCAGAACGCACTCGTGGCTGGGAGCTAAAGCTGATTGGCTCCTTCTCCACTTTGGGGAAGAGGGAAATTTGGGAGCTGACGATTTCCCCAACCTACTGGTGCATTTCAGATAAAACAAACTCGGCGCTAGGAGGAATGATGGGGGTTGTGGCTGATGTCTTGTGACTAGGCAATTGCCGGTGCTTGGCGTAGGAAATCCCCAGCGATCGGTTTTTTTATTGATCCTATTCTCAACCTGAGTGAATGAGAGACAGAGACAGAGACACACAAAGACAGAGAAAGAAACAGACAGGCAGGCAGGCAGGAAAACAGAGTCAGAGAGAGACAGGCACAGAAACAGACAGAAAACATAGATACAGATAGAGGGGGGCTGATGGATGGACAGAGAACATTTGTGAATTTGAAACATGTATTAGTTTTCTGAATAAATTGTGTTAGAAAAAAAATGAAGTTTAGCTCCACAGATTAAAGAGGATAGAAAATAAGATCCTTTACTCCAAATTTTTAGGAGTTTCATTTAACCTAAGTGTCTGCTGGGTCTCTTTGGGAATGGAGCCGGACAAACCTCCCTCTTTTTCTATTTGCTTCATCTGCCAAGGGAGTAAATAGGGGAACTAAAAGGTTTCCAAGATCTCCAATAAGAAAGAGCAGGGCCTTGCCAAACAGGACGGAAAAAAAGAGGGATAGAAGACACTGATGGGCAGGTAAGCATGTAGGAAAAGGAGGGCTTGCCTTCCCAACAAGTACACAGGACTTACCTATATAAAATCTCCATGCCCACCAAGAACTTCTATTTGTTAAGTTACAGTTTAGGAAAGAGAAAGGGGCAGGTTTCCCTCAAAATTACCTTAGGAACTTTCCTCATTCTGACATTGCCCACCCCTTTTTAGAGCCTACCTTGTAGATGAACACTGTTGGGATCTGGTTTTCCCTCCGCATGGTTGTTAGGTTTCAGAGGTCAGGATCTGACCTGAAGTGCGTAAAGCTGTGTCATAATGGGATTCCATTGTACTTTCATTATTAATGAACTCTGTCATCCCATATTTCAACAGGTGTGTAAATTCAAGCATTGAGGGGGCAGTGTAAGACAAAGATATGGTAAAATAGGACAAAATGTGTTTTTATATTACCACCACCACCACTACCCACCTCTGGCCCCTAGAGTAGGTGGGAAGGACATGAGGGTGCAGGCACTGGGGCTATAGCCTATAACTCCTCTTCTAGTTCAGCTGGTCCAAGTCACTTGGAGGCAGTGTGTTCCAGTTAGAGAGAATTACAGGATCTGTGTTCAAGTCCTACTGTTGATATTTCTTACCCATTTGACTTTGGGCATGATATTTGACCTACCATGCCTTAGTTTCTTCATTTGTAAAATGAAAGGGTTGGACTAAATGACCTCTGAGCTCCCTTCCTACATAAGATTTATAACTGGTTTTCTGTGACTTGCTAGTGCCTTCTGTAAAGTGGGCAAGATGGTGTAGGGTGGGTGAAGGAGGCAGGAGCATCTGCCAGTGAACTCCTAGGAATAGAAGTGCTGGAGAAAATGAAAGGAAATACTGCTGTATGACTGTCAGGAGTGCTCAGGATGAGTGTCTCTCTTTGAAAACAGAACAAAATGTGAAGTTACCCTACTCTTTGAACAGATTTCAGTGAAGAAAGAATAAATTACCTCAGAACAGAAAACTTTTTTCAAGGAAAATACCCTCATTTTAAAAAATAAATAGCAATTGTATTTAAGGTAATTTGTTTTTCTAGCTTTTGAAAATGAAATGCCCAGTGGAAAAAATATTAAAATTAGACTCCTTTCTCCATTATTCATTTTGTGGGAAATGTGTTTGATATATTAGTCAGCAAACTGAAGGTATAAGGAGCCCAGAGAGAGAAAAATGACTCCCATAAGGCTTTTCTCTTGGTGTACTTCTCTGAAATATTCCAGCATTGCACTTTTGCAAGAGCATTACATCCTTTAATTTTACACATTCACACCTAGTTCAACAAACACATTGATCTCACACATCCCATGCCCTCCATCCAGATATACATGCATAGGATCATTGAATTTTGAGTTGGAAGAGACATTAGAGTCATCTGACCCAGACCAACCACTGCATTTTACAAATGAGGAAACTGAGATCCAGAAAGGCTTAATGATTTGCCCAGAGTTGAATAAGTAGCTAATAACGGGGCTGTAAATGAAACCAAGGTCCTCTGATCCCAAATCTAGCACTCTTTGCACTTCATCACATATATGATAATATGTATGTAGGCATGTAATTAATATGTAAATATATCTATATATGATATGTGTGTATATAAAGATTATATACAGATTAGTAACATATAGATGGGAGCTACAAATCTGCATTAGTGGAGGAAGTTTCTTGTAGAACTCCCCACAGAGATAAAGTCAAAGGTACATACCCTTCCTACACCAAAATCATAGATCTGGATCCATATATGTGTGGAGTTAACTTAAAAAATAAAAAAGAGAGAGAGATGATTATACATTTATCCAACATCTACATCGTCTCATCTAATTTCATATTCATGAATATGCATTACACGAATACTCACACAATTATTACTCAGACTCATTGCTTTCAGCCAGCACACCCATTCATTGATCACACACTCCCAAGCCCATATTCATCATAAATACACAAACTCTGCTGCAACACACTCATTATTGCCATGAATCCCACCTGCACACTCCCTGGAAAGTTGAATTGCTCTCCACATTCCAAAAGTGAGCTTACCAGAAAGCTACTCATTCCTTCCTTTCACACTTCCCAAGGTGGCCTGGGTCCTTCCCAAGAAACCCTTTCCAGAGGCTCCCCCTTTCTGATGCCTTTAAGAACCTAAAACTAGAGAGTAACCAAATAGGACAGTGTTTCATTTACATCCTATGTGGGCTACCGCAGGACCCCTCTGACATGGAGAACTGAGTAGATGTTTTCCCTGTCACTAAGAATTCCTGGCTGGTGTCAGAGGCACTGAGGCCCCCTTGCTGCTCTAGTGCAGACAGACAGGCCAGGACGTCCAGCTGGTCCTCTGGAACCTCTGCTTAACCCTTTCTTGTCTGGAGCTTGAGAGTTGATATTCTTTGGCTTAGGAATTGAGACAGCTATCTAAGTTGAGGGCAGTGTGTGTGTGTGTGTGTGTGTGTGTGTGTGTGTGTGTGTGTGTGTGTGTGTGTTTGGTGGAAAAAGAGGAAGAAGAATCAGTAAAAGTGAACAACTCTTAGAGAACACAAAAATGTACAGAGTATTAGTGTGACAGAAATGAGGAGGAAAATCTTGGGGAAAAGCATAACTGGTTACTGAGCTGAGAGAGGGACAAGAGTGCCACAAGAATGACCTTTTCTCTATGCTGTTCTGCTTTTTCTGTATGTTTTGTTTAGCACTGGTACCTTCCCCCTCCTGTCTCTTTAATTGTGGGCGCCTCTCTTTCTTTTTATTTTCTTTTTGGTCTTAAGCACATCAGAGCTGTGAGAGGTAAGGGGAAGGGGTGCCACGACATGGGGTATCCCCCATAGCAAGGCTTGTTGCTTCCCCTCACGTCTCTCCAGTCCTTACTGTGCTTCAATAAGCCCAATGGTTGCTGGACTCTCTGACCCCATCCAAGCCCATCTTCTCCAGGGTGACAAAACTCTGTCCAGGAGATCCTGGGGGCCACAAGGTAACTGAGTGGCTATAACATAATCTTCAATTTTGCTGCTGTTAGAAAGGGAGAGAGAATGGAGAGAAGGAGGGAGATGGGAGAGAACGGTTACTTTAAAAAAAAAAGTTGAATCCAGGGCAAGAACGGAAACTGCAGAGTTTACTTTTAAAAACTCAGTGCCTCCTTGTGAACGAGCAGAACAGTCCCATCTGTGTGTGTGTGAGGGGGGAGGAATCTGTGGCTCCATCTGTGTGTATAAGGGAGTGTGTATGTGTGTGAGTGGCCCTCTTTCCTCACTCTCAATGGACTTACAGTATAACCTAAAGAAGCTTTTTGTTACACTTATGAATAGATGGATTTGGGGCGTGTAATGTTGGGCATCAGGATTTGGAGATTTGTTTCCCACTGAGGTTATTTTTTTTCTTTTAAAACCAAAAAGAAAAAGAAATTCACCTCTCGCCATATAAGGTCTGTTCTTTTGGGGTTGGTTTTTTTCTGTCTTTCTAAAGGTGATTTGAGACTGGGGATTAGGGCCAAGGAAGGTCCTAAGAACATCTGGCTTCAGCCCTGAACCCTATTGCTTGTTCATTTGAAATGCCAAGGTAGCTATCACCCTACCCCTTCTTATAGCCAGATGCATTTTCTAGTTGTCCATGGTGGAAAATTCCTGTGACTGAGCATTGATCTGGGGTCTTAGAAATACCTATGCCATAGTACTGTGGACTGGATCTGGAGGCCAGAAAGCATGAGTTTGAATCCTGCCTCTGGCACTTATTAGCTATGTGATCATAGGCAAGACATTTACCCTTGCTGACTTTTTGTTCTCTCATCTTTAAGTTGAAGATAACATCTGTAGTGCCCACATAGGGTCTTTATGAGGCTCCAATAAAACAAGGAATGCAAAATATCTTAAAGCACTATACAGGTTTCATTTATTGTTATCATTATGATCCCAAGGAAACTTGTTCTGACCCTTCCCCTTCCTGTAGATTTCTTGAGAATAAATTACTCAGGACAGTATTACATTTTGGGTCCTGGGGGCAAGAGTCCTAGCATGAAAGTGATACAAAAAGAAGAGTTGAGGTCACCAAAGGAGAAACAAGGTGGAGAAATGGCCTTTCTGAAGAGAACAAGGTAGTAGAGGTGTAAGAGGAAGGTCAGTGAGAAGCCTCACTCTTACACATCTGCTAATGTAGGCTTTTCCTAGCTAGAAGTTTCCAATGAAGCATCTCTGTTGGCAGAAATGTAAAGAAGTCTTGGGGTGCTGGCATTCAGAAATGC